TCGCTTATTATTTAAGTACACTATGATCTAAGTAATTCAAATTAACATCAAAGAACATGGATACTCAGCTCTGCCAACTATAAAATAAACCAAACTATTTGACTACAACAATAAAATGATCACGGGGAGGCCGATTTTAGTACTCGAATATTTAGCAAATCCTTCGAAGAAAATTGCTCGAAACAAACTAAACAGGACCATCTTTTCATCATCTTCTTATTAAAGAAAAGAACATGACTTACAAGTGTTTGGAAGGTTACCTGAAGAGTTGAAAATAAATACAACAAGGGAGGAATTGAAGCTCAGCAACAGAAAGCAACAGCAGCAAAATCAGCAGAAATCCAGCAGCAAATCGTGTTTAAACAGTCCGAAAACTTTAGAGAAAAAACCCAGAACTAACTCTAAAGAAAGACTTCTACTTTTCTAAAGTTTGCACTCTAAGATTTACTCACAAAGTGCAAAATATTTTAGCTTATTAAAGTATTCAGCAACTGATTTTTTGTTCAACCATATGTGTAAGATAGAGTCCGTCTTAAGTGTGGGAAGAGCAACCCCTTAATAGGCAAATACAGTTACTTTTTTGGGATAAATTTTGGTTCACCAAAAACTTTAGAGAAAAAACCCAGAACTAACTCTAAAGAAAGACTTCTACTTTTCTAAAGTTTGCACTCTAAGATTTACTCACAAAGTGCAAAATATTTTAGCTTATTAAAGTATTCAGCAACTGATTTTTTGTTCAACCATATGTGTAAGATAGAGTCCGTCTTAAGTGTGGGAAGAGCAACCCCTTAATAGGCAAATACAGTTACTTTTTTGGGATAAATTTTGGTTCACCAAAAATCTGTCCAAAGACTGACTTTGTGTGCTAAACACTGTTCAAGATCTGTCCCAAAGGTGAAAGGACAACCTAAAAATCTGCTGTGTCAGAAGTAAGGAGAAAAAATATCATTTCAGCCACCCTACTAGTAAAAGTAAACTACTATTACCCTATTTTGTGATAAAATAAACTAAACTCTAGATTTTAACCATCAACAACAAACTACTTGCTCAACACAAATCAAACTTGAATAACTATGGACTGACAAAGCATAGATGAGACTAAAAACGTAATTGAACTAAGTATTCAAACCCACTTGATGGGAATGAATTCGATTTGTGCAAACTTATTACTAAACAAATAACTAAATTCACAAACTAATGCTCAAAACAGAACGAGCATCGTTAACAATCAGACAGCGACTAACAACAACTAAATAATCGACTAACTAACTGAACGATTTAACTAATACACTAAAGATCATATTTAAATCAATAACAAATCTAACAAACCACTAAACTAAATAGAGATAACTAATTAAATAAACCTAACTTGAAACTCTAATTAACAAGAAACAACCAAAATAGAAAAATCAAAAATCAGAAGCTAATCTACTAATATAAAAATAAGAAATTAATTAAAGAGAAGACGATTATACCTAACAAGTATGCTTGAAGATGTTCGAGCCACGAGAAGACGCCGTAGATGCTAAAAGGCAACTGACTTTGAAACGCACGTTTCTTTCGGGTAAATGCTAGAACGAAATGAGTTTCAGCATCTCGCCAAAATAAACAAGTGTCTTTGAGTAGAAAAATAGCTAAGATGGGGGTTCGGAGCATTTTGGCGGTAGAGAGGCAGTGGAGCCGCGGCGGCAGTGAGGAGCGGACTGGCGATGACGGGGATTTTGGAGGTGAAATGGGTTGGAAAAGATAGGTCTCGTGGAGATCTATCCATTCATGTATGTGTTGTAGGGTGGTGTTGGCCGGAGCTTCAAGAATTTGGATAAAAAAGTGGCGGCTAAAGTTTCCTAGATCTAAAATTCAAGGAGTTTGAGGGGTTTTTGAAGGAATCGGTTTGGAGATATGGGAAGAGGAGGTTGTGGAGATTACATGGTGTTAATTTGGATGTGTTTGGAGGTGGTCCGCCGCCGGTGGGTGATTTCCGGTGGAGGCAGCGACGGCGGAGAGAAGAGAGAGAAGAGAAAAAGTTATGGGGGAAATGAGGGAATTTTTTTAGACTTTTGAGGCTTTAAATACCTCTTGAGAGATCAAATATGGACCATTAGATCAAGGGGTGATCAATGGATGAGATTTGATCTCGGGTCACTTAATGAAACGACGTAGTTTTGAGGCAAAACTACGTCGTTTCAGACCCTTTCAAGGGCAGCCCCTTATCTTGCACTTTTGGCCACTTTCTCTTTCAAATTTGGCCCAATTTCTTTCTTAATCCTACTTATTATACTAAATTTATACAAACAAATAAATTAATTAAGTAACTTATTTAAATGATTAATTAACTAGATTAATTCACCAATTGAATAGTTAGTTAATTCCTAAAATGCACAAATAAAGAAAGAACTATTTTTTGATATTTTTATGATAGAAAATATGCAATCAAAGACACAAAAATTGGGAAAAATAATTAAAGCAACAAAACACTAATGACTTTAGGAGGTGTTAAAACAGTATAAAAATAAGGTATTCACAACGTCTATTGTTTCTTTTGGGGCATGCATGCGCGTAAGTTAAACTTTTATTACTCTATTAGATGCTCCATGATCTTATTATGCAATTTGGGCTACCTCAGTTAGGACGACCTCTAAGACATGTAAATCGCCTCACGAAGACCTATGTGGCCCCCAAACTCCCAGGAATCATGGCCTCAAAAATTACTTTGCAAAAATAACCCCACTTTGCAAAATAACAATATGGCCAAAAGTGGTTAGACACGCAAATTCAGCGGGAATGGACCTTAAGATGAGAGGATACCTTGTTGTGGGCTTAGGACTCTAAGGCATGTGTTAATGAGACACTTTTGCAAAAATTACCATATTTGCAAAAAATCTCTGATGTGGCCAAAGTGGCTAGACATGCAAGACTTGGCTACACCCTCCAAACCAAGACCTAGAGACTCATTGAGAATATGAAGAAAGACCGGACCTTATGTGGGTTGCCTACGCATCCCGTCCCGAAAGACGAGAATCAGGTTCGCGTAGTTCCTGAGGATTGGCCAAAATTGAAAAGACATGCAAAAAAGGTCAACTACACTTGCAAAATGAGTTTTTTTTTGTTTGTTTGTAAAAATTGTATAAATGTGTAAAATTTTGGTTTTTTTTTGGAAAACTATGAAAGTAAATGTGATTGGGCCCTACTTGCTTTATGTTTTTAAATATTTCACCATCTTTTCTTCTCCATCCGTACCTAACAAGCATCGGTCTGCCAAATGACCCCTTTACCCTTAAAATGCATTATATGGCACATAGGGATGATTGAATGCCTTTTTGCGCCGCGGGTCCACTTTGGCATGATTTGGATAGGCCTCCTACAAAGGGACACGGTGCCTGGGACCTAACCCTGCTAGGTCTAAATGACATGATGCAAACAATAATGACCTAAAGCCTGGCCTAAGTTTGGGGTTCACTAGACAAGACAATTCGGGGCGACACATGATCGATGGCGGTTGTTGTAGTTGTTCGCCCACTCCACACTCACACTCCGCCCCCTAAAGACACGGGTGACTCATGAAAAGACCGTGTACGCTCAAACGTACTCCGAAAGACCCGTTGCAGAAAGAAGGTCATGTTTATGCAAATAATGACAATTTATAAAGCAGTAAACACATAAGGAAAAGCGATAAACAAATAAACAACAAAACAAGAAATAAAACAAACAAATCAAATAAACAAAGCAACTAAAGAAAATAAACACCTCAATCGAATATTCTAAAAAGCCAACAAGATCAAGTACCGACTCGAACCTGCAACTCCCCATCAGAGCCGTCAAAGCTGTCACACCTTTTTTTTTTAACCTTAATCCCTTTAAAAGAGAAATTGATTTGTAAGGCTCAAAATGGTTTCAATTTGAAAAATGACATTAGCTGCGTTTCAAAATATTTTTGAGAGTCTCCACTTGACATTTGATTTCGGTGTGCCAAGTCACTATTTTTTTTAAAAGTGAGGTTTTCTTTTAAAACACATATAGACTCCAAAACTAGTTTGCACCAGAAATTCTAAGTAAGGAGATTCCTTTGATTCGGGGAGAAGGTGTTAGGCACAGGGGCGGACCCACCTTAGAGCAAGGGGGTTACTTGAACCCACTTCATTGAGAAAGTTAGTTATTTTTATATGTGAATTTCATGAGAAAAATAGAAAATACGTATTTATTAATAGAACTGAACCTGCTTCGCCCAAACAAAGGCTGCGGTAAAGAGGGTTCAATCAGGAACCATGGTCACAGGTTCAAAACTCCACTAAAGCAGCCAACTAATATAGTTTTACCCTGCTGTTAAACGTCCATTGTTTAGTTAATTTGCTTATGTTTTCTCTTTGTCTTGTTTTGTAAAAAACACAAATAAGCAATGAAGTTGCAAAATCTTTTTTTTTTTCTTGCTGTATTCACACAATTTGCATCTCTTTATACAAGTAATCTAGCTAAAGGAAAATGTAAAATAAAATGATACTATATACTTGTTTAATTCCTATTCCCTAATGCTATGACAGAAAAGCTAATTTTATTCCTGCTCACATGTGCATCTTACGTGTAAAGTATATTCCTTCTATATTTTATTCATTCCCATGTGCTCACATGCTCATTTTTTACAGCTGTATTTGCATATCAATGTCACATATTAAAATGCCTTAAGAGTCAAATATAAAAAGGAGAGACAAGGACTTTTATCTAGAAATTGTACGAAGCCACATTTGTTTGTCTGAAGACTTTCTTCTTCTTCATTTCTAAACGCGATGAAATCCCCTTCTTCTTCTTTGTTTCCATTTCATCTTATTTCAAATTAATATGAGGTTTCATCTTAACATCCCCCTTCAAGTTGGAGGGTGGAGAGAACCCCCCCCCAATTTGGGCAAAATCTGATTGTGAGAAACCCCTGTCAGAGGCTTGGTGAAAAGATCGGTGAGCTGAAGCTTTGAGGGAATGAAAGAGATAGTGATTAAACTTGAGAGATACTGTTAGTGGACGAAGTGGCAATCCAGTTCAACATGCTTAGTCCTTTCGTAGAAGACTGGGTTGCGAGCTATATAGATGGCCGCCTGACTGTCTGAGTGAAAAGTGACTGGCAAAGTAGGAGGAGCGGAGAGATCAGTGAGGAGACAAACTAGCCAAGTTATCTCCACAGTGACACCCCGCATGGAGCGATACTCCACCTCAGCAGATGAAAACGAGAGAGACACATGTTTCTTCGATTTCCAAGAAATAGGAGCTCCACCTAGAGTAATGAAGAAGCCACTAACAGAGTGACGGGAATCCTTACAAGCAGCCTAGTCGGCATCGCAGAAAGCAATCAAATCATGAGAGGGATTTGCAGAGAGAAGTATGCCTTGTGCCGGATCAGAATGCAAATACCTCAAAACACGCAGCCCAGCAGAAAAATGTGAAATTGAGGGCTTTTGCATGTACTGGCTAAGAGTGAGGATATCAAAGCAAATGTCTGGTTGGGTGTTGGTGAGATAATTAATTTTACCAATAAGGTGACGATAAAGTGTGGGGTCATCCAATGGGGGCATCAATTCAGCATGCAATTTAGAGGAAGGATCGAGTGGAGAAGAAACAACAACTCCTGAGCAACCAAATTCCTCTAACAGCTCTAAGGTAAACTTCTGCTGGTTGATAATGAAACATTGTGGTTCTCTTATAATTTCCATTCCCAAAAAATAGTGAATGTCACCCAAGTTCTTGACTTTAAATTCTGAATTGAGAAAGTGAGTAATGTGGTCTATTTCAGCCATATCATTGCATGTTAATAGTATATCATTGGCGTAAACTACTAGAATAGAAATGAGATCTCCATTTTGTCTAAAAAAATAAAGAATAGTCATTTAAGGAAGTTGAATAACCCTTGAAGCTAAGAGCACCAGCTAGTCTAGCATACCACTGTCTAGACTTGGTATAGTATTAATGCAAGATGGCAGAGTGATTGCTTATACATCGCGGCAGTTGAAAGTTCATGAGA